ATTCCTGCTCTTCTTGCAGATAGGCAGAAAGACTTTTGGGACCCATATGTACAGTGATGTACTGTCTCAAAGTCATTGCAAATATTATTTATGCTCCCTTACATGGAAAGCACTCTTAGCATAAATCAGGGTCCTTTGCACAAATCCCTGATAGAAAAAAAAATGAATTTCTAATCTTTAATCCATGTTCTTTGATTCTTGGTGCTATACTAACTGAATACTGCTAGAGCTCCAACTAGAATATCAGAAAGCTTAAATGATTTATTAGCTCCTCTTGTATTTTGCTCAGCATAATATAATACGTCCATTTCCTACTTTGTCAGCTCCATCTGATAATGTTTATTGCCATTCCTTTTCCTATAACATTTTCTTCTCCTTTTTTTGCACTTATTTCTCATCTACTTTCATTCTTTTCTCAATAACATAATCTATAGGAAAAATTCTAATTCTACTTGTCTTACTGCCTCTGATTCTTCCTTTCTCTTTGAATTTTGACATTTCTGAATTATGAGAGTTTATTTTGGTAGCAGAATTGGACATATATCTTTAACATATAAATCAAAAATCCATGACACACTTTCAGAAGCTTTTACTTAAGACATTCTCAGTAGCTTTGGACATTATTTAAAGAAGCTGACAGACAACAGAGGCTGACACGTGTTGGTGTTGTATCTCCTCTGGTTCCCTGGTAGGGATTTAAGAGAGACCAGTTTACATGTCTTTGTAGACTGGGAAATGGGTCAATTCTGCAGCTAGCGAAAGCAACCTTAATTTAGGAAAAGTTGTTAGCCACTTTGCATTATTCTGCCATAATATCAAAAGGCTAAAACTTCAGGTGTTCTGACCTCAGAGCTTCTTGAATGGGGAATCTTGCAGTATCTCTTACTATGTCTCCCTTCTTGTGGCCAGTATAAGGGAAGCAACGGAGTATAATTGAAAGAAGCCAGTCAGGGATTTATTACTCAACGTGTCTTAACATAGACAGGTTTAAAACAGCCTCAGCTGCTCCTGAAATAAGTACAAGTGTTTTCTTGGTGTGAAATAAGAATAATTGTAGCATAATTGAGCTAACTGGATTTTCTATAGCATCACTGATGTATGCTAACTTGGATGAAGATGATGAATGCAAAGTTATTTTCAAATCTGTCCTTCTCCAAAAAATGTCTGTTTTGCAAAGAATAAAGCCAAATCCTTCAAACCAAGAAGATTTAGTCTATATAACACTTTGGCAAATGCTTCTCTCCTTCACCTCTTCAGATGTCAGCACATCTTAAGCTAAATCGCAGTCTGCCACTAGATCTTTTATACTTTACAGTGCTGCTGGAATAGAAATGTAGTTTCTAGTAGATAAAAATTCATGAACTACTTCCCAGCAACCCTCAAAAGGGGCATCTGTTGGAAAGCTTCTGTGGTGATCTCCAGAGGTCACAAAGAAAAACAGAAAAAAAAGGAAGTAAAACCTGCCAGAATTACGATTCTGAAACAGCAGCTGTCTATGAAGTTTTCCTTGCTTAGTTGTCTAGTTACACAGCTGTCTTCACTGGTTACTGTTTTTCTCTTCCTACTTTATGATCCCTTACCTTGATTAAGGGAGCAAAACACTTGGAATGGAGATACTCCTGAAAATCCTGGGAATCCCGCATTTGAAATGGCAGTTCTGGCAAGTGTTCCAGACAGTAAGACACATAGCTAGCTGCTTCTTGGAAAGCAAACACAGAAGGAAGCAGGCTTCTTTACAAATCCAGAAAAAAATTTAGGCAAGAAGAAGAAAAAGTTAAATGGGCCCAAAGAATGCAAATTCAGATTCAGTTTTCTATGTACACATCTAATATTACAAACCAAAGGACTTTCTTTACAATACCCAGGTCTGATACCAATAGCAGTATAACTGTGACAACACAGATTACCAAAAGCCTCCCAAGATCCTTGAAAAATGTTCCGATCAGAAGCTTGTGAAACTTTTCCTGGCTATACTTATCACTGACCAAGCTGGTTATTTAGAATAGAGTCAGGCATCCCTGCCCAGGATTCACTTACACCTACGGATCCTCTGGCAAATTATATTTTATTAGCAGAAATACAGGTAGCTTTCATTCACACAATAAGCAAAAGTTAGACACCTATCTATTTATTTACATTTAATTAAAGATAATGGGTTTTTAGATGAGATAAAGAAGTCTGTCTCTATGTTTTACTGTTTTCACAGATAACAGCTATATTGTTAAGTAGCTATATTGTTGTATAGTGAGTTAAACTCACCTCATACTTTCCAAATAGGAACATTCTTGAATACATGCCACAAACGCATGGTCACTACCCTTTTAATGCTTCACTTGTTGTTAGCCTTACAATGCAACACAAATGGATCAGCTGCTTAATTCAGGAGGATACTTCCTACAAGCATCTTCCATCCAATTTAGGATTAATCATAGGACAATTCAGAAACATAGACTTTCTCATTACACATGAGAAACGACAGAAGCAGAACTAATACAGTTCTTAGCTGATCATATCTCGATGCTTTAGGGATCAAAAGAGAATTGTGTGCAACTTTTTCATGTTACTAGATGGATAGTTCTAATGGGCCTTAATTTTCCCAACACGTTTCTACAGTTTAAGTAGTGCAGAGTCATGGTTCAGTTTTCCCTATTTAAGTTGACAAAGCTTTGCCCTATCTTGAAACTTACTCAACTGCCTCACTCATCTCTGACTTGATAAGACAAGTGCTTAAGTTAATTCTGAAGCACCATCTATCTCGTAAGAGATTGTGTTGGGACAGCCAATGGGTTTGAAAGTAGACTAATTAGTCTTTGCATGTCAGCAGTCACGCAGGGCAAATCCATCACTTCTTCAGTTTCTCCAAAAAGGTAGTTATCTTCATAAAATATGTCAAGGACCTCAGTGAAAAGGGTTTCTTTGATTTGATTTGTTTGTACTATCATGGTGATAAGAGAAGCCAACAGGGATCAATTTTCTATTCTACCCAAGCAGTGCACAACAAACAAAAGGTGATTGAGAAAGGGGAGGAGACAAGGAGGGTCATAACCGTTTTATCTATATGAGCACTGAAACACTGAGAAACTGAATCCCTGAGCCAGCATCCTGTAGATCCATATCAGAACCAGGAGTTAGCTCTGCAAGTCACCTCCAGTGCAGGGCTCTAGCCACAGTGCCATTCCCCTTTGCAAGTACAGCTTTCAGTAAAGCCAAGTATTTCTGCATTTTCTAGATTTGTAAAAGCAGCAAGAGACACTTCAATAGCATAGATCTGAGTTACAGGGAGATCCACTGTAACATCTCTCCCATTTCCCTGTGCCTGTTGCATACAGTGTGTTTTGACAACTCTAATTGTAGATGTCACCAGTTATGAGGACAAACACTCTTTTCTACACTTCAATCCATTTCACTGTGTAGATATCTCAAAAGAATTAGCCTGTCCTGGTGAGCAACAAAATTTCCTATGCTATCACTTCACTGCCTCAGTGAACAACACAGAGCACTATATCCAATTTAAATTTACCAACTGTTGCTTTTCCTACTCAACCACTTTTGGAGTCTTGCAATAGCCTGTTTCAAATAGAAATCAAAAGTAACTTTGGAACTGTTGCAGGAAGCCAGCTGTTTGCTTACCTGGAATCGCAAAATAATTTAGGTTGAAAGAGGACTCTGAAGGTCCTTACACAAATTCAAGGCTAACTTCAAAAATAAATCAGTCTCAAAGGCTTTTATGGGCAAAGTTTTAAAATCTCCAAGGATGGAGAGTCTGCAGCCTCTCTGAGCATCTGTTCATTGTTCAAGCAAGAATCAGCAAATGGCACTTCCAAAATCCCCAAACACTTCCAGACTTCCAGTGAAGGAGAGTGCTATCATCACAGCACCATGGTGTTAAACAGACATTGATGTGGCAGTGAGACCATAAAGGCATTGTAGAAGAACACATGGCTCCACAAAACAGATTCCACTAACTGATAGGAGTGTCAATAGGCCAACTACAACTGCAGTGCAGTATTCATTTGTGCTGCCCATAGGATGAGATATGTAAGAGCCTTTTCCCCCAGTGACTTCTTTGTTTCTGTGTATCTGGTGTGTAGGCGAGGAGTTCTGCACCTGCACGAAAGCCGTGGAATCCATGACCTTGGCTTGCCTCGCTGGCAGCTTTCCCTCTGCCTCTTGGTGGTTGTAATCATTCTTTTCTTTAGTCTGTGGAAAGGCGTGAAGACTTCAGGAAAGGTAGAGCTAATATTGTCCTTCTATCTCAACTACCTTCTTTGTCTCCTTTAAGAAGCCTTTTAACTTTAGAAAGCAAGAGGCTAAATCACTGCTTCTGAGGGATCCTTGTGGACCAAACCATGTAAGAGGCCTTCACATATGTAGAGTGGAAATACACAACCCCGATTCAGCTTTTTTCTTATTTACAAGTTTTAGCATATGGTGATCCAACTGCAAATTTTATCTGCACGTTATCTTCAATTCAACAGTAATGGTCTCATGCAGCAAATATTTTGAAAGACTTTAAATTGTCTTAATCATGACTCCTTTTCTTAGTCAAATGTACTAATATTTCAATGATATAAGATGGTTTAGTTTTATTATGTGATAATGATGAGAGAAATATCCAATGAAAATAATTTAAAATTAGTAACTATGAAAGTAATTAAAAATTCTCAGAAAACACCTTAACAGTAATCCTAGGATTGGATACATCTGAAAGCTTTCTGTACATTGTCATGAAAGTATCACCTAACAGCAGGCAATGAATGTACTTTTTTAGTAAATGAATATACAGCTGAATAGCTAATCAGTAGTCTAATACACTGGTAATGTGTAAGCACTCCAGGTCTTCTGTTTGTCAGAACTGTCCCCTACTGGTATCAGTAAACATATATACATAAAGACCCATAACACCATTTTCCCCCAAGACATCCTATAAAGAGCTTCTCCATCAAATGGAATGGACGAAACCAAGAAAATGCTACCCATAATTTTCACTCCTTCTTAAATCTTCTGTAACAGTTGTTTAACCTTTGGGATCTCTGTTGTCTGCAGGTTGTTTGGATAACAGCCACTTTGCCTTATGTTGTATTATTTGTCTTGTTAATACATGGAATAACCCTGCCTGGTGCATACAATGGAATAAATGCATACCTGCACATAGATTTCAGAAGATTAAAAGAAGCCACAGTAAGTGCACTCTCCTGCTCCCATTCTCTTACCATTATTAAACCTGTTGCCCCTGTTATTACAGCTGAAAATATCAGAGGTAATTTCTCAGATTATATAGCCACACTTCTGCTTTTGCAGAAGAATTAGTCCACTGTCTCTAAAGGTCTAATTTTCCAACGCTCTCCGTAAACCGCCTCAGCCTCAACCCAAACTGTTCTGATCACATCAAACCTGCACAAGGGCAGTTTCAGGTGTGATAGGCCCTTAAAAGTTCATTCTTTGACTGAGACCCTGTAAAATGCAGTATCCTTTATACATGCAAATTGAGTCATGCAAAAATGAGTTCTCAAAAGACTAAGAATTCTGTCAATAAGAAAATTTTACTTTTTGAATCATGAGATTAAATATTAACCTGGTAAACAAAAATTCAGGCCTATGAAAACCTTACTAAACACACTAAATCAGAACTAACTCACCTAATCAAATCATGATCCTTCATACAAATGAGATTTTCAATAGCATAGTGTTCTTATCTTACTATTGGAAGTAATGTACATTTCACTGTATCATTTAAAAATATTAATAAAATTAACAAGATATTCTTATTAAATATAAATATATTAAATATCCAACTCAATTTGTGGAGTACCTTGGAACAAAGAGTTATTTCATCCATTGTAAAGCCAGATCTAAGAGTATAGTCACTAATTTACAAAGTTAGCAGCATTTCAGACCTACAGAGAACAACGATCTGGTGACTGGAGTGATCTTACCACTGTGCTATTCCAAAAAATATCATAAATAATTTCTAAGACAGTGGTATCTCTGTGGATTTGTCATGAGGCCATTCAAATGGTTACAGAAGTGAAAATCAAGGATGTAGTTCTACTGGAAGGAAATGAACTATCCAGAAAATCTTCAGCTTTCAGAGATATCTGTAATCTGAACATACTGGCGCTGTACATTACCTATGCATCCTTATCTTGATTTTTCCTGAATATTTAAAAAGACCCTGAGAGTTAAAATACAGACCTATTTTATACACTCTTAGCAAACCAATCCTTTCTTGGCTTTGTAATACTAAATTTGGAAACTGGCATTTAATCCATAACAGAAGTTACTACCAGAACCCACACCCCATCTCACTCTATTTCAAAATAGTCAAACTGAACTTCAAGTATAGATAGGTCTTTTGTCTGCCTTTGCCACCAGGGCAGTAGCCACCTCAGTAGTTCACATTCATGCATACATGTAAATACAAAGAGGCAAGGATGAACAAAGGAGGTGCTTAAAGTTTTCTTAAATATTTTAAGCCCTCTTCGAGAAGAACATCACAAGTTCAACTAAATGTCAATGGAATTGTGCCAACTGGCATCAGCTCAGAATCCAGGCCTTCATAATCATTGCTGCCTTCTGCTTTTGGAAGGATATTCTGTGCACTGCTTTTCCTTGGCTTAATGTTTCTGCAGCTGCTATTTGGATGACCCTAAAGTTATTTGTTTCTAAGACTAATTTTTTTCAGACAACAACAACAAAAAAAAAGGTTGCTCAAGAATAATAAAAGACTAAAGATCAGTTATAAGGAGGAGTTTCACAAACTGCTTTGTCACATCAGCCTTTCTCCTGCTCGGAGACTGGGATACCTGCTGATGCAATACACTTGTGTGTTTAATCTTTCTCCTCAGGCTTCAAAGAATAGACTCCTTCTTTAGTTCTATGTCAGTGCATTCCTGAATATTTCTGATTTATGTTTTTTTTTCTCCTAAATGAAGAATCAAACAAAGAAACATTGCAAGTCACAAACAGTAATGACCTCTGCCAATGTGCCTTTAAAAGATCTTAGACCATCCTGATCCATGTCAAGCTCTGCTTCATTTTATAGGGCCACATACTGCACAGCACTGAGCAAACCCTGACAGATGTGAATTTTTAGGAATACTGATTCCACAAATAATGTCTCTACAAAATGAAAGAAAGATATTTATATCTCTTAACTATACTTATCTATGTTCCTTCCTGAATGTCCAGGAGCTACAAAGCCACAATACACATCTCCACCACACAGATGGATACATTCAACACCTGTGTAAAACAGCAGTTACCTTTCTGTTCTGCTAAAGAAATCAAGGTTACACACAGAATTAAATTCTGCAAGAGGAAGAGACACTCAGTCTTTCATACACCTTAACAAATTTCCTGAAGAAACACGTTTCCTTTCCACACAGCACAGTAATTCTTTAAATCCACATACACAATACATACACAATATGCACAAAAGTTATAATGGCATAAACAACTAAACTATGAAGAAAGATCTAAAGGTGTGGAGTGCCTCATGTAAAATGTTTTTATTTTTTCTTTTTTAATGCATACAGAAAGAATATCCTACTATAAAATATACTAGACTATGCATCAATCAGAAGGCATTCAGCTGAACAGAGAACATGAGCACGAATTGCAGAAAAACAAGCCTCACTGCCTGTTTCACAATCCTGCTTTTTTATAACAAAGGAAATATTTTGCATTTAATCTTAGTTCTAAAGGAATTAATGGTTTGTGCTCATTTTTCTCTTCACCCTGATCTTCTCAATTTGTTTCCTAATCAGCTACTATGAGCCAAGACTCTTACACAACAGATGTTTAAGCATATGCATAACTCCTTTGGTAGGCAGCAGGTGCTAACCTCTTATTTTAATCATTGGGACTTAAGAATGTGCTTAATGATGCTTTAATATTAAGAAAGTAATAATGAGTACAACTCCACTGCCAAGACACAAAGAAATACAGACCACTAAAAACAAGTGCCTTATGACAGTTATAGTGTAAGCAAAAATTATTTTTAGAAAATTCAGGAACTTTGTTAACAACACAAGTTATAAGAAGCTTTAAAAAACAAGAAAAAGAACAGAAGGCTTTGCATCCCCCTGTCCCGCACTCTTATCCAGGCAAACGCTCTTCAGAGAGCACAGCCCTCATTGATCTCAGCCTTTGTGTGGAGATAGGACATGAAGATGTAACTGGGTACACAAAAGGAATGCGCAAGGAATTAATTTTACAGGATTGTTTTGCTGTTTAGTAAAAGAAATCCATGATACCTAAAAGCCCTGTATAAATCGTAATCTGAGAAGAATCATATCTACATGTACATTGGTTTCCAATAAACACATAGATTGTTCTTCTTGTTACATTTCAAGTAATTAACTTGAAACTCATAAAACTAAGTTTCTCTACAAATCCATAGTTCAATACATGGTCACAGTCTTCAACACGCAGTAGTTGAAAGTATCTACCATTTATGCTGAGAAAAAAAGATAGATCACTAATATAAGTGATTTCATATATCATGTTAGGATGGGATAAGGAAATCTCTCTCGACTGGGCCAAATGGGAGAGCTTAGCTTAACACCCCAATGTAGATGGAGCTCATAAGCAGCTTAGATCCATTAGAATGCCACTGCTAAATAGATGTATTAGATCTGATTTTGTAGAGCAAGGTGGAGATGAAATCCAGTGCTTTTTGCAGTCTTGATTTCAAAACCCTTGTTAAAGATGCTTGCATAAATACCTTTAAGTAACAATTGAATAAGTGGAACCTCAATTAACCAGGGTAAACTATTTTCAGGCTTCTGATTCAGGACACCAGCAGCATGTATTATTCCTGACTGCTGTCTGCACATGAATGCTGAGCTGGATGGTCACTTTCAGAAGATGTTATAGCATTAAAAACATGTTTTCCTTAGTGGACAATCCTTAAAATTACCAGGCTGCATCTAAACTGAAATTTAATTACTATCACAGTAATAATTCCTTTTCTAGCTAAGTGGGAAAAGTGAGAGATAACCTGTGTGGTTCTGTTCACAGCACATCAGTTGTGCCTCAGCTTCTGAAACAAGAAAGCATCATATAAAATAAACTAACAATCCCATGAAGAAAGCTCTCTCATGGGAAAGAAAATGTCCTGTGACTCTTGATCCATTGTATATTTGTAGTTTTCTGGTTGTCCAAATTATCTTGGAAAAAGAGCGATTGGAAATGCATTTCTCTCACCCAACAGAAAAGTCATGTAATCATTTCAGTACTCAGTAAAAGCTCAGAAGCACAGATCCGACTGGTGCCCCACACTGTGGTAGCACTTACCCACTGCTTCAGCCCTTACCATTTTAAGATAAGCCATTCTGGACCATGACAATGCTCCATGTGACATCTCATGGGAGATGAGAAGCACGCACACTCCCATGAGCTTGAATACTGATCATTTTTCAAAAGCCATCTGTCTTGTACACTTCTTGCATTTTCCTGATGCATCTTTTGGACTGAACTGACGCTGATAATGTTGGTATCATTATGCAGGTGTGGATTGATGCAGCTACTCAGATATTTTACTCCTTAGGAGCCGGGTTTGGTGTTTTAATCGCATTTGCCAGTTACAACAAGTTTGACAACAACTGTTACAGGTAAGACACCCTGTTACTTCGTTACTGCTTCACAGCGATACTATTTTACTCTAACTGCAACTAGAATAAGCACTAAGCTATCTCTCTATCTTCAGTCATTTATTAATAACGGTTAGTCTTGTGTAGACATAGCAACCAACCCAAATCTTGAAACACTGTCTTCCTTACTGAAATTTTAGTAACAGGAACCTGCCAAGATATCTGCTGTACAGCAAAACAGAATGGGATTAGGTTTGGACTTTAGACAGCTGTGTAAACTGTGCTTGTGTTTGCCTTTCAAAGTACCAGTAAGTGTAACAGTGAGCACAGGATGAAGTCTTATTGGTCCAGGAACTAAAAGCAGAAGGATTCCAGTTCCCAGCAGTGTTTCTGTGCCTTGGGATTATATTTCTGATATTTTATGTTGAGCTCTAATTTAGGAATGCACTTTAAATTAAATCAAGTCAGTTTGTAAGTATTTTGCTGAATCACCACCATGGAAATTCAACCAGAACTGCTCTGCACCTTCTGAGAACTTCCAACATTTAGAAGTTTTGTTACCATTCCATTTTGGAATGAAAACAAGCATTGCTTTAAATTTTCCCATGAAATATAAATTCAGGCAGTACATGTGTTATAAATACATTGTGAACTAAAGGATGGGGGGAAAAAAATTAAAATGACAAGGTACAAGAAAATACGTAGACTGGAACTGCCTTAAGCAGACTGAAAGCCAAAATCCTGGAACACTTTCACTGACTTCAGAGTTTTGTGCTTAACCCAAAGCAACTTTGGGTTGATAACTGATTATTTGCAGTAGGTACTATTACTTCCTATAAACCAATCCCCATCTATTCTTAAAGTATTTTGTGCTGACTTTTTTTCACTGGGCTGTTCTTCTCTCCATCATTAGGGATGCTTTGCTGACTAGTACCATTAACTGTGTCACAAGCTTCATCTCAGGATTTGCGATTTTCTCCATATTGGGCTACATGGCTCATGAGCACAAAGTTAAAATTGAGGATGTTGCTACTGAAGGTAGGAAGTTAATTTTATACTCGCTTTACCCTTTTTTGTCCACCAGATGTGTTTATGTTTGGTTCAAACAATGTGTGAAAATCTCATGGAAATTACCTGAATTAACTTATTTGGAACTAAAACTCTGTGTGTAAATGCCTTGCTGAAACTTGAACTCTAAGTGGTATTGATTCATCTTACCTCCACTGAAATGAGGTTCACCAATATCTTGCCCCTCACAAGTTTAGCCTGTGCAACGAACAGTCATTTACCACTGCATAATATCTTGTGAAAGTATTGTTGCTCAGTACCACAGGTTACTACTTTGGATGGTTCTGGTAAGTTTAGCTGTAGACTCCTTTTACTGGTAACAGCTCACTCATTATTTCAGTTCCTGTACCTCTCATCATATCCAAGTTCTCCTGCCAAACAGTAGAGTCCCAATCCACATGGCTCCTTCTCTACTACATAGCTGAAAAATAGCTCATAAGGATGTAAATCAAATAAAAGATTAATAGCAGTGAAAAACAATGGGATAGAGATTTTTTTTCTTGATACAAAACAGTCATGAGTACATTATTAAAGTACTTTGAATATATTTTTGGTATAACACAAATTTTCTTTTAACAGCTACTCAAAGTATGATGTGGACTGATGTAAAAGTCAATTTAATCATATTTTATCTTTTTTTAAATGAAACTTTTGTGAGGCTAAGAAACATCATTTGGTGGTTTTTTGGTTTCTTTTTTTTTATTTTTTTATTTTATTTTATTTTTCTTTCCTTTTCAGGAGCTGGTTTAGTTTTCATCCTGTATCCAGAGGCAATTTCAACTCTTTCCGGATCTACATTTTGGGCTGTGGTATTCTTCATAATGCTCCTTACTCTTGGTATTGACAGTTCTGTGAGTATTTTTTCCTTCTAGCCTTGACATCTTTCATTTACTGTTACATTCTGTAACTGGAGAGGTATCAGCCTTAAACAGGGGCTTTATTACATTTCACATAAACATTCTGTACATTCCCAGAATCTGTTTTCACAGTCACAGCCAACATACCAATAGTATTAATCCTGACAGTATATTTTAAAGGCTAACAATATTTAAAAAGTTTAGGAAAACACCAAATCTCTTACAAGCCAGTAAATAATTACTTAATGATGCTTTTTTATGACCTTAAAGAGGGGCTGTTCATCAAGAGTTATTACTATTTAAAGGTATGACCCAACACCACTGTTATGTTCTTGCCAAAGAGGCATCAAGACATCCTGTTATATTTAGCTTAAAGGTTGATTAATTTCTGGGGGAAAAAGAAACAGGGCCTTTAAGAAGTAGTGAACCATGAACAAACAGTCATCATTTTTAGAAGGGTAGGGGTTCTTACTCTTCTAAAGCAAAGACATGTCTTTGGTATTTCTGAATGTACAGAGCTGATTTAGGAATTTCTTGCTGGAAATGGCAAAAACCAGCATTTCCATTGCTTACAACTTCAGAAAACTTCCTTAATTTTCAAGGACAAGAACGAGAGAGAATGAATTGACAGGGAGGAGAGCAAAACTGAGTGAAATGACGTTGCAACAGGAAACTTTGATAATCATTGGCAAATACAATGAGATCTTGTGGACTAAGGCCTGAGCTGTAAAGGTCAGATTTGGGTCTAAATGTTTCTGAAGTGTTTGGATTTTTGGATTCCAGCTTACATTCATTAAAGTTTGTCTTATACACTAAGATCTGAATCCTTATTCAAAAGTCTGAGGCAAGATTATGTCTGGGTTTGTAGCTTGGCCATTTTCCAACTGTAAGCAAACATGAAGGATGGAAAGGAAGGGTTTAGCACACTGAAAGGGCATGAATGGCCAGTAGAAGAGGGCAGAATTAAAAAGAAAATGCATGCTCGGAAGTGTTTAGGTCCAAAGAGTTAACTTTGCAACAGCAGTAAATTTAAGGCAACAAAGAAACATTTGAGTAAAACAGGCACAAGTGTTTAGATCACAGAACACACTTTTCCTTCAATTGGAGAAAGCTCTTTCTTGTGGAGCTGATTAAAATAATATGAACTGAGAAACTGTGGCCAAGTTTAGTTTTTTTCTTTTTAAAAGGGGAAGGATTTGCTTATTCTTGTTTCGTTCATGATTTTTCATAATTTACCTAAGAAAACTCAGTTCATGGGTTGTTTTTTATGGTGGTCTCCTCAAGTCTCCCCCCACAACAAGTCCCTGAAGGGAAAATGAAAATTTTTAAAGCTAAAAATCAAATAACCCCAAAGCTAAGGAGGAATAATTATATATGACTACTTTTATTCATGTATATAAGCACACACTGGCACAGAAATACAGACATCTGTATGGAACTGTCAAAATATTTAAGCAGAGAGAAATCTGATCATGCAAGTTTAAGCAAACAACAGTGAAAAGGACAGAAAATGGAACAAATGTTTGTAGACATTTTTTTGGAGTAGGTATCTAACTTGGCATAGGGAACTGACAAGGGGAATAAACCATAATACATTAAGAAATGGTCCTCAGCCAAAATCATTCAAGCTTCCTCTTTCTATTTTCAATTTCTCCAAAACCATTTAGGTGCCAACACAGTTACAACTTCTGAGAACATCCAATATTAACCCATCTTAACTACAGTGCACTCACTCTTGCCCCCCAGACATTAGGAAGTGCAAGCCTGCATGAAGCTTTGGGACATTTTACTTGTGAATATTAGTTACCTTTGAAAAAAAAAAATTAAAAAATCAGTCCACTGCCCCTACCAATTTGACTCTAGTCTGGAATCATTCACATTCTAGAGAGGTAATCTTCTGCTACTGATTTCAACCAGAAATGTTGCTTTCACCGAATTCTTACAGGAAAGGGACAGGCTATGCCAGTATGGAACCCAGCCTCCCCAAAACATTAAATACACTCATTTATTATGACAAGGAACCGGAATTAATTTTACGATTTCCTAGTGGAGCAGAGGCAGAATGCTTTCAATGGTGGAAAGAAATTAAAATTCATTAACCACCTACATAACCCAGCAATTTCAATGAAAACTTGGAAAGCACCTTTCCTATATCGCAAAACAATGGCTAATTCAGGCACAGTGGCTGAAGTTCAGCATTAACTTCCAGAAAACAAAGTAAAATTCTTTCATGTTGTCAACAAAAAGAACATGTAAAGCTTCCTATGTAGGAATTCTCCCAGGTTTATAAAGATCTGTGCAAACTGGTTAATCAATGGCTAAACTGAATCTTTGTTCAGTATGTTTCCCCTAGGCGGTTCTTGTGTCTGTCTTTATGCTAAAATTCTCTTAAGCAGTTTGGTTATGCAAGCTACCAGCTTTTTCCCTGAAGTATATTAAAATGTATACTATTTTTCCCAAGTTACTGTCTATTTGCTATCCTGGTGAGCCAGCAAAGCGCCTGCAGATGATGTGGGTACTGAGCCAACAACCATGGCACTTGATGTCCAGCTCCCTAACTTAGTTCTTTACCACAGGTATTAAAACATACCTCCAAACAGCAGTGATTTACAGCTGAAATGTCAGGAATCATACAGTTGTTGGGAATTAATTATACAAGTTGCTTTATATTCTTTGATCTGTATTTACAACAGCCAGTAGTGTTTAACCAAAGCTCTTGCCTTCCCTTCCTCAGATGGGTGGAATGGAGGCTGTCATCACTGGCTTGGCAGATGATTTCCAAATTCTGAAGCAGCACAGAAAGCTATTCACCTTTGGCGTTTCTTTTGGCACTTTTCTACTTGCCCTTTTTTGCATCACCAATGTAAGTACAACAAAAGTTTCCATCAATAAGCTACCTTAAAAATGCAAGTTTCTATCATCAGATAGAAACTTGAATAGGTTCACCTGACTATTTTTGTTATAACTTTTAATACTTAACTTTATGGTCAGAACATGTCTCTTAGTCTAATTTACATGAAGTTGCTCTGCTTTTTTGCACAAGATCATTAGCTATCAACAGAATCTACAAGTCTTTGTCCCAAAGAAATGTCTGTGCTACTGTTGGTTTTGTTTGGGTTTCTGTGTTCTGGTTTGTTTTTTAAATCACATTAAATGTAACTGTGTTGAGTGCTTAGTCCTGTGTGAAAAACTAAGAACTTTAAGTGACCATTCCCTTGGTCATCTGGCTATTCCCTTCTTGAAATAAATAAGAAGCATTCACTTCATGTGAAAGAAATTTAGAGTAATGATCTTCACGCCAGGTTTCTTAATGTTTCTTCATGTACCTAGATCTAATCTCTTACTCTTAACACCAGAAAAAGCACATAAATAACTTATCCTGTACATCTAGTAACCTGTATGTAGCACTACCATCATCCTGAATGATCTGCCTCACTGGGATTTTGACAACTAATTAAAGGATGAGAATCACAGTATTCTAGGTTGGAGAGATTTTTTTTAAATTATTATGTTTTGATGAAAAAGCAAAAACAACTGAAACTTGAGGTAGCCACCATGAAAGCAGATGTGCTGAACTGCTGGAGAGCAGCTGGTTCCAGATCTATTATTGAAATGGCATAAGTTTATAAGTAACAAAATTCCTTATACACTAAAAGAATATGGCAACATCTTTAGTCCACCATGTTAGGACTATTGTTACCTAAAGAATTGAACATGCTCCTTCCTTATTCAAAGTCTAAACTGGAATAAAATTTCCTAAAGTACAAGATCAAAAAAACTCAGTGGCTAAGAACCTGAAGAGTTGGTGCAATTCCACTGCCTTCAAGCGAGCTGAAGCAGTTCAAGATAACAGCCTAGCTCTAGTTTTTAAATAATGACACCTGTTTGGACTTCAGTTCACCCCACCAGCTGGAACGCACAAAACTGCCCAGACTTGTCCAAATGTATTGGTTCACATAACTGAACAACATTTCTAATGTGTACAGGATACAAAGAAAAACCCTCATGATGCCATCACATTAAATTCATCTGCTTGATGTTGTCCTCTGAAATTTTAAGGCTGTATTTTCAAAACATGTTCTTACAAAACCATATTTGTCATTCACTTTACTAAGTTTGATAGCAAAGGCATTCATTTAGAGCAGGTGTAGAGCAAAAACAAGAGGTCAGACTCAAATGTCATTCAAGAAGCAACATTTTCTTTCTAACACAACAACCAAAGTTCATTCAGTTTCCGGACAAGTCCCCACAGAATTAAAAACCTAGACAAGGCCTAAGTACTGTTCTCTCTCTTTTTGTAAATACACACAGCTGTTTCAGAAAGCCATTTCATAAGAGAAAAGAAAACCAATTGATCACAGAGATTAAAATCACCTACAGATCTAAATATTCCAAGTGCTATCTATATCATTGGTAAGACCTTGGAGAATAATTCCTTTGTCCTCTCCTTCTGAGCAGGCATAGTCAGATCAAGTTTCATCGTTTAAAAAAAAAAAAAAAAAAAGGATTTTAACAAAAACCTAATGCAACTGCAAACATTTCAGTTGTTTACATGTGACAAAGAATGTCCTGAAGCATTTTATTCTTTATTTAGGTTCAGTTTGAAACAAGTAAATATACTATGGTCTTCATTCCTCATCCCTCCAAACTAAATAAAATAAGCAGCAATTTACACAAATACGTCCCACATCGTAAAATTAGGCAAAAAGTAGTCAAATTGGATCTAAAGAAAAAAAAATTGTATCAATGAAACAAGACTGTAGTAAATGCATTTACAGTTCTCAGTCATGAACCACTGAAGAACAGAAATGTGCTGTTGGGAAGGAAGATAATCCGGTTTGCTCTCTCCTTTGAGCAAAGGCTTACTAATACTACAGCCAAGAAACCAGACAGAGCTAAGCTGCTTCCATGCTGGACTGGCAACATGCAACTGCTCCCTTTGCAGAACATTGGAAAAGAGAGATGCAGGCAATCTGGAAGAAGAAAGCATCAGCCTAAGATTGCAGATTGACTGGACTACAGAATAATTTGCTTTAGGTACAAACTGAGTGGCAATGGCTTCCTGCTAATAATTTTGGAAGATGTTCATTAACTGCTGTAGACAGGCCCTGTCCTACAAGCTGCTGAGCATTGCCTGACTAGCCAGCGCCTTCAGCTTCCATTGAACACCAAATGCCAAGAGCACCCATTAATCATGCCAAGCTGAGGCTTCTGTTTCCCAGTTAAGTGAGAACAAGGGTGAAAGGAAGCCTCTTCAGAAGAGCTGCAATCTGATTCCACTATTTTTTATGCAAGCATGAACCCGTGTCTGCAGCATCAGCTCCATACTAAAATACTTGGGTTGAGATAATGTTTCAAGTAAAGGTGATTTCTGATAATTATATATTAAACCACTGAGATAATTCTGTTTGTAACATCTTTTTGTTGCATCTTTTAAATCCCCAATGCTAGGGTGGAATTTACGTGCTCACACTTCTGGACACATTTGCAGCTGGGACTTCGATATTATTTGCAGTTCTAATGGAGGCAATTGGAGTTTCCTGGTTTTATGGTAAGCACTTTATTGGGCACCTGCAAAATCTTTTCTATAATCCCAAGTGCTCGTGACAGGCTTACACATTGTTTGCAGGAAAAAAAAGCATAGCCTTGTATACATGAAACCACAAGTCAGGTGTCACACACTGATTTTCATCTGAGTTATGAATAGCCAGGAATACAGATGTCTAGTGGGCCAAGCTTTTAAACCCTGCACAAAGCCAAAAAGAAAACTGTACCTTGCGAAGGAGACTGCAGTGGGATGAAAATATTGATACCTTGCCAGTATTTTGCAGCTCTCAACATAGGTGGTGATTTCCAGTAGTGGGTTTACATCTGGTACTTTCAAAGCAAATAGATTAACTGACTCACCTGTTTCTCCTTTCCATGATTTCCCCAGGGCAATCTGAAGCTCTCCCCATGCAATACAAATAAAGGTAGTTTGTCTTCAGGGAGTTATTCCTATGTTACTCTCTTTTGTTAAAGAAAATATTCTACTTCATTGTAAAACACTATTGGTTTAAAATGTGTGGTATTTTGCAGCATGGTATGGAATACTCAACATCCCAGATACCAGAAAGATACTGTTTCTAGTATTTCATATTAACTTGCACCATAAAAAGAATGCAGTAATTCACTTTATCCCTGGTATAGCAGGCTTTAGGAGTACTCAGTTGATCTCTGGCACTAGGCTGGAATCATTGTGTGCCAACTAAAGTGCAGTGATGTGTTTTAGTACCCTGAAAAAAATGTTGCTCACAATTTAAGTTAGGTCTCAGATGATGTGCCCGTCTTATCAAACAATTGCCCTGGCCTTATTTGGTCTTTTAATATATTTTTCCTCCCTCAAGTAACATAAATAAAAATCAAGACACAAGTTTCATAAGAAAAAAGAAACATTTTTTTCTCTCCCTGCCCTGTATTTCTATTCAGAGATAATGTATGGTTCAGTATATAACTGTATTCAGAATTAATATATTGTTCAGAAGGTTCTTAGGCATCACTCTTATGCCATTTACCTTCCTCAGTCACTTATTCATCCATCCATTCTGTGCCACCATATTCTTGAAGTCAGACTCTCTCTTGTGATTAGAAACTGTTGATAAGTGAACAAGGTAAAAGAATGACATTCATGCATCAAGCTGTGCCGTCTACTAAAGAAATAGGGTTTAGCTTTAATGTAGTAATTCTGTCACCCAACATCAACATGGAGCTAGCAGCTCATATGCTGTTCCCTCTCAAAGTAGTGGAAACACTAGTTTTCACAGACAACTGTCTCTGATCCTTGTAAAACAGCTGAATGTGGAAGAGCGATGATAGCTTAGCTTGGAAGCAGGAGCATAAAAATATTCTTCAGTTAGTAAGGGCAAGTTGTTCTCTGCTATTATTAAGATAGAATTTACTGCACCTTAAAATAGCTAGGCTTTGCATGTGGTTCACAGACTAAGCCAAGGTTAGTCAAATTTTTTTATTTCTTTGTTGCACCTTCTTGTCCTTCACCATCCTTTCCTTTCTCTCTCCTGCCTCCCTGTAACTGGGAAAATAGCTATTCACTTCTCTTAAGCATGTTTTTACTGATACAACATGACCTGTTGCTGTATAAAGAACTTATTGCAGCCCCAGGTGCTATTTAAACTGATTAAATCTGGCATGGTCTTGTCTACCTCTTTTTTTCTGATAGAACCCATTTGCCTTAATGACCCAGATGAATATTAAGCCAGCCTGAAGGCAAGCATTGACATTTTGGCACAGACCAAACCCACAGAAATTTAGTTCAAATTATATCTGTGACCACTTACTGTGAAGTTTCCTCTTGCAAAGGCCAGCTGTATGTGTAAGAGAAGCGAGACCTAGTTTGTTTTACTGTACAGATGTATTTTAGTTATGGCTGCTAGCTTGTTACCATTTTTGCCAAATGGGGGAATGTTTCCTACTGTTCTGCTTGCTTTTAATTTAGCACAGCTGACCTTCCTTGGGGATGGTACTGTATGGCTTACTGCCCTCACGGCCACCATGTGAGGGTCACCACCAAAGAGTATCAATATTGCCCCAGAGCTAGAAAGGAGACTCAGGAACAAAACCGGATGGTGGTTGTTACTTCACTACATGGCTAATCAACAATGACTGATGAGCTGTGTGAAAAAAACAGTGTCTTTTCTCATCTTCTCCTGGATGAGGGCTTGTATGATTAGGATTCTGCATTTGATAGATATGTGCTTGTTAAGACAGAAGTAGGGAGTAGGTGCAGAAGAGCAACTCAAATGTAATGAATGGGTGATAGGATAGCTGAGTGTTTGTGGGTCAGGGCAAAGGCTAGCAAGGGTGACACCAGGGAATATTGTTACAGAGCACCTGATCAGGGTCAGGAAGTGGAAGAAGCCTTCTTTATGCAACTTAAAGAAGTGTCCTGATCAGACCCTGGCTCTTACAGATGAAGATATCAGAAGCAACTTCTTCTCATAGATGCTAGGTTGGCAAACCACAAGTGACATTCTTGCAGATCTGCTACTTGCTCTCAAAGATGAGCTGCCCGGGGATGTGGGCAGCAGAGTAAGTGAGTCAGAAGAGTGACCTGCCGGTGTACCAAAGCCATCAGCATATTGAGCTGTAGCAGAAGCATAGCCAGGAGAGTACAGGAGATGATTACTGTCTTTTACTTGGCACTTCTACTGCACCTAGAAATCTGTGTCCTGCTTTTGACCCTCAGTAAAAGTTTGTGGTGGTATACTGGCAAGAGTCTAGTGGTAGGCCACCAAGACATTCAGGAGCTGTGTACAAGCACTGTGAACAAAGTTTAGTGAACTGAGCTTGTTTAGCCTGGAGGAGTCTGAAGGAGGACCTGATAGTGGCCTTCCAGTTCTTACAAGGGAGCTATCAAGAAAGAGAATCAGGCTTTTCACTGGGGTGCACAATGCGAGGACAGAAGACCATGATCAAATTGAAAGGAGGAAAATTATTTTTCTGTGTAAGGATAAATACACATTGGAACAGTTTGCTCAGAGTGTGCTTGCTAATTCTTTTCTTGGAGATTTTCAAGACCTAATGGGACAATACCATGAGAAAGCTGTTCTGAATTGTTCTGGCCTTGATTTGAGCAAGAGACTGCACAAGAACTCCTCTGAAAGGAATAATTTGATGGTTCCATGATTTATGGTAATTCCCAGGGGCCAAAAGATAGGACTGATTAATGAAGCAGCTTCACTACAACTCTTAATTTGCATACAAACCTACAGGTGCTGTTACCTGTAGCTGTGTTCTATTTTACATGTTGATTCTTGGAACAGTTATTTGAAGACATATAGTACTGAAAAAGCTTGCTGTTGAAAAAGCAGGCTGAGAGCATGGCCTACTTATCTCCCATTTCCAGTCGAAATTGAATACCAAGCACTATTTGAGCTCTGGGTAAGTCTGTCTGGAAACCTATGAATAACATTTTTGGAGCTATCTAGTCCTTCTCTTTGACCTTCTGCACAATGATAAATTTCACTCAGTACTCATAGCAGTTGAAATTCAGTCATTTTAAAGTTCACAGAAGGCACTGTAAATAGAATTAGATTAAATTTAAAGAGCATTTGCAGATCCTTTTGGCTACTTTTCTGCAACTGTACATAATATCTGGGGGAGGGGGAGAGGGAGGGAGAATCAAAGAGAAGTTTACACTCTAATGTCTAGACCTTATGAGTATGTTACATCCTGGCTGCAAGTAAAGGACTAACTCAAGCTGTCACCATTTTTTACATTAAATACATTAAGTAAATCCTACTTAACTGATCCACATGAAGAGAAACAGTTATTGTGGAAAACTATACATCCTCTCTGAGAAACAAATGTTCACAGTAAAAAGCTGCACTTCTGCTGTTTACTTGACAGGGTTCAGGATTAAAAGTAAATTTCCTAAACACATCAAGTATAATAAATTACAAACTAGTAGTCTGACATGACAGATTGCACTAGAAAGAACTACTTGTCTGTGAGCCAATGTCTCTAAGGCATAGAGTTAGAGATTGTTTTCTTTTTAAAGAAAACTGAGGACATTTTTCCCCCATTTGTATCAGCGATAATCATTCTATTCTAAAATACAGTGTAACAAATACCATGGTTTTAGATTAAATTTTTACAAGATACCTCATGCTGGTAAGTCCTACCAGAATAGAATTAATAAAAAAAAAAGAAGGGAAGAAGCTACCATTCAAGTGGATGTTTTACAGTCACTCTAAAATGCATGTTTGCTTTGCATAACAAAATATAGTATACTACTTAATGCAAAAAAAAAAGAGTTCCAATAAATACTGAAGACAGAAAATGCCTCACTGACTGAAGACTAGACAATTTCCAGAAAATCCAAAGCATGCAAGATGATGTGAATTAATATTGTTAGAATAAAAAAAGTACATTTCCTGCATACAGACAAGCTTGATTGATAGAATTGTAGAAGATTCAAGAATTTTAGCTAGATCAGGCTAGTACCACTTACAGAAAGCATGTTACACTTGTGCTGTGTTACCCAGGGTATTCAGACACAGAATTCATATGCTATGTTTTTTATTCACGTGAACAGATCATGCACCTTCTCAACTATCTACAACAACTACATTACTAGATATTTAGCTGCATACAAAAATTAACAATTTTAGAAAATTCTAGTTTGTATTATAATTTTCAAAACCAGAGAGGATACTTTAAAAAAGGCCACCTCTTTCAAGCTGATGTAGTTTTGTACATATTTACACTGAAGAGAAGCTGCACCTCTCTTTTTCCTTAGAAAGGTGATAAAAGATGAAATAACATTTGTCAGGCATAATGAACATTCTGTGGTACTCAGCGAAGCACTGAAAATTAAGTAAAGTATATTAGTAAGTGGATAAATCAAGAATCGTATGAATCTACCTCATTATCAGTAAACAGTTTGAGTAAGGTTCTGGGTTTTCTTTCAGCATACTTGTAAAAGTATTGAGTAGTTAGGTTACAATAGGCCACAACTATTGAAAAAATGTGTGTCCCATTCACTGCTTAAATTCTAGATATTTGTGCAATGCCACTTTTCAATGTAATGCCAGTTGCAACAGGCCTTAAGTGCTCACAGGCATTTAAGTCTTGGATACAGTGATGTCAAAGATAAATCTAGTCATTGAAAGATCAATATTGTTATTTTGTATGTCTTCTGATATGGAAATCATTCATGTCTGCTTACTGAAAAAGCAGATTTTTGGGTTGTGCCAGCATGTCATCAGTTTAGGTTTACGCCAGTCCAATGTTCATATCCCTTCTAGGTGTGGACAGATTCAGTGAAGATATACAACAAATGATGGGCTTCAAGCCAGGCCTCTACTGGAGACTGTGCTGGAAATTTGTTAGCCCTGCTTTTTTATTGGTAAGTGCTAATAATTATTTCATCATGGAAAGAATGCCAGTATGCTGGTTCTAGAATGCGTAATAGGTACCAACAGCAAGATACCCATTGCTATGCCGGGTGTTGTCAGGATGCATAGAAGACACTCCGTTTAACTCTTTTCTCTCCACAATGGCATTAGTTATATTTGTATAATACCTTTCCGTTGTGAAAGAGAAGCCAATTGTGGCTGTGGTCATGTTCTGTTCCTTCACTTTAGCAGGATTTAAAGAAAGCAGTTTTTCTTAGGGAACACTGAACACTTAGTCAGTGTCCTCTGTCCTGCCAACATCTCTGCATGTTAAACACAAATCATTCTGTTGGGACAATAAACTAGCCAGGCATATGAGATGCTGTTAGCAGCAATTTATTTTTCATTGGAGGATACCGAGATCCCTGAATATCTGAATGACACCTCAGAAAAACTAATTCTACACCAACTAATTAGCTATGTGAAACACTGAAGAGATGTATTAAATACACCTTAAAAGCTGCCTGATGTGAAAAACAAGTGCTTCACTACATCAAGGGAGAAAAAAATCCCACTGTGTGAATTCAGTTTCTTTGTGTAAAGGTTAGATTCAGAACTAAACTACAGTTTTATATTGGGATCTTTTCCTATGCATATTTGTAAATCAAAAGGTCAGGTTGAATAATATGGAAATTTGACCTCTCTATGATTTTAGGAGACTATTAATCTCATCAAAGCTGTGCGTTCTGAAAACAGTACTGGTATTGCAAAGATACTGGGTGGGCTTTTATGACAGCCTTCAATTCTACTTTTTTGTTTCTAAATGCAAAACCTTCTGGCCCCAAAACTCATCAGTAAGTACCTCTTAAGCATGTATTAATTATCCTTTTAAACAGTGCTCTGTAAAGAGGCTTGTATGGAAGCATGTCCTGCAGCACTTCAAACAGGCTGACTTAAGTGAATGGAAAAATGCTGCACCAAACATCCTTAGGTTTGCACATTAAGAGACTGTTGAAAAATTAAATTGTACAGAGAGTTCCAAGCACAATAGAGAAAGCTGAAGTGAATCTCATTCTAACCTTCAGGTACCTTAGGATTTCTTGGTGAAGTGGCCCCATTACCATCCTACTATAAACCTAAGGGTCAGAACAAACTTGTAGGTAATGCATCTTTCAGCCATCACAATGCACAGATTTTTCCAGCTGCCAGTGCTAAACTTGGAACATATCAACTTAATTAAGGCTATGAATGTATTTTAAAGACCATTAAAATTATATCACACTGGGTAGGGGACACTGGGCAGTTCTGTTATAGCTGTACATTATCTTAATTTCCTAAAAGGCAACATGGACATTAAAATCTTGATTTATAGGGGAAAAGCAAATAAAATTTGTCTTCTCACAGTCCATCTTCTGGGTTCATTATTGAATACATTAATAAAGCACATTACGTTAAATTGGCCAAAATGTTTTAACTTGATTTGTAAGTGAAAACTATAAAAGATAGCAACTAGTATGAAAAAAGGTAGTCCAACATTAGCCTACATAATTAAAATCTACAAATTTTAGAAGTTTGGCCACTTTATACAAGAAACTGAATTTTTTCTACCACCTGTATGAAGCATACAAACTGCCTCACCAGAACAGACTGAGACCATAAGCATAGTAAATACAAATGGCAAAATTAACAAATTAGATAAATTTGGAAAAGGCTACAAAGTTGTCAGGCATTGGTATGATTCTTGCTCTAACAATCCCATGTATGCTTAGTGCAAGGTGGTCCCTATTTGGGACTGGTAATGTATTAACAGCAGTTCCTAATTCTCTTTAAGAGAAAAGGTAAGTTGGAGTTGGTCAAATATCTGATATTAGGAAATGTGTCCCTGAATCTTTTTCTCTGTATTGTCTGCAGCTGTGGACATCATCCCAAGAAAAATCTCAAAATGGAATTGGTGTTTTTCTAACCAGATTTCGCAGCATCAGTTTCCTTTAACCCACACCACTACTCCTTTTGTATAGCCTTTGTAACTCTCGACTCAAAATACTCTAATTTGAAATTGCTGTATGGAGCAAAATGTATAGGCCTAGAGACCCAAATCAAGGAACTCTACATACTACACAACCCATACGGATTTAACAGGAGGGAAATAGGTGGTATTCCACTCTTCCCTTCATGCATCCCGTACTGGACATGGTAACACCAGCAGAAAAGAAACCCAAACCCTCTGTTTTTCAGGCCTTAAGGCTGCTTGACCTTGCCTCAGAAAATGTATCGTACTGGAGTTTGCATTATGTCTTTCACTGAAAAATGACTACAAAACTTCTAAATGAAGCCTATTATCTCTTGGAAACAAAGAAAGGAAAACAAACAGATCCTGCAGAGTTTTTTCTTGACTACAGAATCCCTTTTTTACACCTGTAACACCAGTTTAAATGAGGCAGTAGCAGACAACCACCTGATCTTCCCACCAAAATTTCAAATTGTATGTGTCCAGGCTAGCTAAAATGAACTGTTAATACTAGTAAATGCATCAAGAACTTCAGCAGTTTGAGCAGTAAGAAGCACAAAGTAAATAGGATGACAGTAAACAGTAAAGCTGGTTTGAAATACACCTTAGGTTGGCTGCCTAATAAAACACATATAATTGATTTTTCACTTAGTTGCTTCATCTCAAAACTGCGGTTCATTTTATTCTTTCTTCCCTAGTTTGTCGTGATAGTCAGCATAATAAATTTCAAACCTCTGACCTATGATGACTACACCTTCCCTCTCTGGGCAAATCGCATTGGATGGGGAATAGCATTGTCTTCCATGATACTTGTGCCTGCCTATATTATCTATAAATTCATGAATGTGCGTGGGACCTTTAAAGAAGTAAGTGGAACATTCATAAAATGTCATGATACGTTGCTATGAAATGAAATGGCTGTATTCAGGTTGACAGTTTGTTTCTCTTACTTCCCAAAATTCTTACTTATGAATGACCTTTTGGATTCAACCCTTAGATGGGTTGTAATTTTGAGGTAGGATTACTGCATGCTATTTGAAATTAGCTTTCCATTCAGTACAATAATTCTGAAAAAATATTTTTGATGCATGTAATTAATGCAATTGATGAGATTATTTTTTTCCTTATTAATAAAAAATACAAATCATGCTATCTTCATATTCATCTGTGAGGTACAGTCTTCACACAGTTCTGTCTAAACAGAGGTCAGTCCAAGGTATGCTTTATCAAGCTATACTGCAGTGTTGTAAACTGTTACATGTCCAGAGTTAATTCAGATCTCTCCTAACTTAGCATTTTAAGAGTCTCTAAACATATATCCACATGCTGGGACGGTGGAATGCCCCCAGAATAGCACCATGTTCAGGATGGCTTTTGTTCATTCAGTGAACATTCAGCAAGGGCAGAAGAAATGCCTTACTGGGTGCCAACAACAGACCCATTTAGCCCTGTGGTCTTCCTTTAACAGCAGCCACTTCGGGTTTGATTTTCATTGCCCTTATCCTCTATTTACTGGAATAATTTCAACATTCTCTGAAGGCTAGAATTAATGCAGATCTTGCTTTTGAGTTCATCAGTAATATTAGAATGCTTGAAGAAACTTCATATTCAAGATAGATGCTGGAATAGATCTCGGAATCGAGAAAATTCTTATATAGGCACTTACAGTCTCATCTAGCCTGTTGCTTTTTAACTAATTCAGTAAAAGCACCAGGGCACTAGACAGCAGCATCTTTCACTACGTAAACTCACTTCATGCATTATATGCCTGGTCTGTACACTGAATAAAGAAACTGAGGAGAAACAATTTGTGAACATTTTCTTCTACTGATTTGCGTAACAAGACATTTAAACCTGCAGCCTTAATAGTGTTCTCTTAACTTCATTTACGTGTTTATGTGTAATATTAAATCTATGTAAAAGAACCTATAAAAGAACCTATGTAAAAGGAAGAAACAAATCCATATTTCCTTACAGTTCACATCCCCTTACTTCTCTATCAGTTCCTACTTCTCTACCATAATCCTGTATTCCAGGAAGGTAGAGAAGTAGGATTACGGTTCACTGATCATATCAGTTTTACAATGATACTAATTTTACAGCCATAGTAAATTAAGTACAGTCTTAAAACCTCTAAGGTGCTCAAATGTAAGACTACTCACCATTCAATAACAGCAGTTTTTATCCCATCATGTCATCATTTTAAAAGCTAACCTAGACTCTCACACTTACACCTGGTTCTATCACTCTCCCTTCCTACAGCTAGAGTTACACAATGGTGTGGCAAGATAGTAACGCTCTTAAGCAAATCACTGAACCACCACCACCACCACACAAAATTAAGCAGAAAATAGGATCCCACCCTTTACCTAGGCAGGGAGCTGCACTGTCACACAGACCTGGCAGACCCAAATGGATAAATGCCTTGTTTCTGGAACAGTATAGTCATCTCATACAACGTTCATCTCAGAAAGGCACCCCAAAGTGAGGTTCCCCTCTTCACCTGCCCTGTTTTCATCAGCTCAAACATCTCAATATTGTGCACAATTTCTGATTCTCATTTCCAGCAATTCTGTAAGCCCTTTGTTTTGTTCCATTCCTGGGAGTTTATAAACCTATTTTCCAATTGCATCTCAGTCAAATAATAATTTATACTGGCCCAACAGGCTTTAGCCAGCTTGCACAAGTTTAGTGATATTGGAATGTAAAAATTTTGACCAAACCCACATTTTCTCACTCATTTTGCAGTGTTAGCTAGTCCTGGTTTGTCTTTTACAGGCTCCTTTAGATAGAAATTCTCCAGTTAGTCCATGAGAAATATAGCAAAAGGCTAGTGTATTACATCCAAATAACTATCACAAGATACGATATCCTACACTGTGGCTCTTAGAAGTATGAGGAAAGGTATGCTCTTAGTCTAATGGGAACTCCTTAAATTGGTTGAAAGTTAATGATAAGCCAAAATTCAGATGTGATCCCAGACAGCACAGTGTAGGTTAGGCAAGGGAGATGAGCTGGGAAATAGTATCTCCTTTCCCTGCCACTGGGACTAGCCATTCCCATTACAGCACTAACAGAAAAGTGTGAATTTAGGGGATGTAAGGCTTATGCTACCAACTTGTTCCTGATGTTCTTTTCTATATGCAGTTGCTAAATATTTGGACTTAGTATTTGCATAAACTTTCTACTGTTGCTTCTTATATTAAAGGCTAATGCCAAGGGGCTTAAAATAAGCTTGTTCTTTCAGTGACTAAGTTAGAGGCGCATGATGCAGTGATATTAAAGATCTAAGTTACCATTTTAAATAAAGTTCATGCTACTTCCCTATTATAGATTGGGGATTACAGACATAATCCCACTTCATATGGCTGACTTTTTCCTCTTCTTCCCATCTGGTTTAGAGACTAGCTTACTGCATCACACCCGAAAATGAGCACCAACTCGTGGCCCAAGGAAATGTCAGGCAGTTTAAGGTTTGTACTCCTTTCACCACACTTGTCTCCCAATACCAACCCTTTTCTGTCTTCAGCAACTACAGGTTTGCGCCAACCTCCATATAGTGGAGACCTCTGCAGGTCTGTGGTTCTTTATTTCTGCCAGCATAATGAGATGCAGGAGGAATCAGTACCATATGCATCAGTCATGCTGAAAGGCTTTTGGTACCTTCCTTCTTTGACTAATCAGAACCCACAATTTTACAGATCACCCAAATCCAGTATTTTAGGTTGAATCTGAATATAGTGAGATCTCACTAAAAGCCAAAGGTATTTCCAAACTATCACGTGCATTTGTACAGGTATTGCACAGCAATCTGAAGTCATGTTTCCTAAACTCCAATTATGTAGCACAATGCATGGTAAACAGCAAAACAAATAGCCAGTGCCAGAGCTTAGGCACAATGGCCATGATGAAATAGTGTGCTAGGTTATGTGGAATCAGCTTTCCCCACAGGCCTGCAGTTGATCGAAAGCACTGCTGGAGACTTATTAAGCAGCCATGAAAAATATACTATAGGTTTCCAAATACTGCTTTTCTTCTTGAAAACAAAATGAGCTTATTGAAATGAAGTCCTTTTTGTAGAAGATGAAAAGGATGCAAATATGAAGCTTGTTACACTTATTCAGCATTCATGTTAGACCACTTTCTGTCTTCAAAGTTGAAAGCAACTAGAATTATGCACACCACCTCAAAACATCACCCAGATTTTACAGTGGTGGTTTGTATGTTGGTATTGAAAAAAGAAATTTGCCTTCTGCTTAGCCTGAAAAATAGTGTTTGAAGTGTAATTTTTAATTTTACAGGATATAATCCAAGTGTAGATTTATGGGATGCAGAACAAAAGCAGTAAGAAAAGGCTTCCTGTTTCATGACTGTAATGTATTTGATGTGGCCAAAAATATGTACTAGCACAGCACCTCGTCCTGCCTTCTTTCCTGTATTCCTGCCCTCAGTTGTCTGAGGATTTAATGTTCCAGCTGTAAATAATAACCTAATTTTTCCAGAGGGAGATGGTCCTGTGTGAATGGGCTATAAACAGCCATTCCTACAAAGTGTACTGGTCTTCTGAACCCAAATCTCTGATGGCAAAAAAGAAGCAAATGAATTTCACATTAATTAGGAAAGATTGTACTCAGAAAAAATTCCTAATGATACCTCAAACCATGCAGAACACTAGGGTGCATTAATTTGCTGCTTTTTTCAACTAACAGCAAGAAATAGCTTTGTTATTGCTACAGCATAGTTAGTGCTTTTGTTCATAATATTTAAGTTTGTAAACCAAACACTGACTACCATAACCAAACAAGTACAAAAATTTCCTTCTCATATATGTTCAGCAGTTTTGAATTTTAAAACTGAACTTGACTTGATTTTAGTTGAGTAAAACAGCTTTTCTATTCAGCACATTTCTCATTGGAAACTGGAATCCACAGAAATTTAGTTACAATCTGTGTTATCTTGAAACATCTTTATAACTTTAGATTTGTCAACCAATGTATTTAAACCCTTTCTCACTATCATCATTTGAATCAGTAGTGTTATTTAACAAATACTTCTATTTCCTTACAGCTTCAACACTGGCTAACAATATGACAACCAACAGGTTGAGGAAAAAGCCAATATATTAAGGTAAACTGAGAATACAGAAAAGTCAAGTTCAAAGCTCCCTCGTTTATGCTTGGACCAGGCTGGCTCAGAGCTTATCTACTGACTCTTTGAGGGAAGACATCTGCTCTCTGTTCTCAACACCTCCCTTCTATTACTTGGCTTCAAATGATCTTTAAAGACTGTTTAATTTTCCTTACATCCTTTGGTGCCATGAGATCCCTACATGACCAAAACTTGTGAGTTTTGCTATTGGTAGAAGTGGAGGAGGCGGGAGCAGGGAAAAAAGCAATCAACATAAGTTAAATGCTCTTTCAGTGTGAAGAAGTCAATTAAAATTTTCTGACAGTAATGATTACTTCAGATATTCATGCCACGACCTATTTTAAACCAACAACACCTGAACGTTCTTAGACGTAAGGAAAGAGTACATCTCAATTATGAGGAAAGAGCAATTTTAACTATGTACTAATATCATTAGCTTTCTTGCCATACTATCTTTGGGGATATAAACTGAAAACTCATTGCTACATTTTCAGTGGTTTAATATTAGTTTTCTTCTCTTGGTGAAGAAGGTTGTCTCTCCTGTATATGTCCATGCCATTTCCTGTCCAGTTTAATTACACAAGCTGAAGAGCAGCAGGAACAGAATTCCTGTTATTCACACTAAGTACAGAATACAGTTTAATACCACCCTGTACTTCATGAAAAATATATTCCCTTATATCAACAATTGAAATAGCTTTATCACACAATCCATACTCCACAGACTTTTTCAGCTAAGTATGAATGTGACACCCAAATAATAACTTTCATTTTTTTGTTATATTTTGTTGAAATAAAGAATGTAAAATACATATGAAGAGAGAACAATTTTTAGAACTACATAATCTACCCAGAGGCACCAAAATACCAAACTTTGGCTTTATTATCCTGCTGTGAATTTGCTATTACTATAATTTAACCTGGAGTCACCTACCAAAACATAGTAAGATTGTGTTGAATAATCTAGGGTATTTCAGGCATACTCAGTTCTTTAAGCATATTCCAGCTCTTCTCTCTAGTAGTATTATGCAAGGTAGAAGAAACAGAACAAACTGCATTTGGGTGCTGTTCTAATTCTGTGACTTAGAATCTCACTTATCACTGTAGTAGCTTCCCAGTGATCACTGGATCTGGCAGCTTTGAGTTACTTCTTGTACTTATTTATCACTACATCTACAGCAATTTTCAGAGGCAATAGCTTCTCATGAATCCAGCCCAGACTTTACCTCCAGACCTTACCTCTGAATTATTTTGTCTCTATATATTCAACTCAGCTTGTCTTTCAAATGTATGTAGCAGTTCCTTTTTAAAAGGATGGAGCTTTTTTATTTATAAAACAATTTTTGTTGAGGTTTTCTTTCTTTTTTTAAGAATAGCCCAATTTAAAAGTCCTAAGTGATTTTGGACTTTTGCATTTAACATTGATTTCTGTTCACAATAGTGGAAGGGAAATTTCTCTCCTTATTCACCCTTCTCCTCCAACATAATCAATACTTTGGAATATATCACAAGTTATCCTTTTCTTAAAGTGTCTCTGTGACAAACAATAGTTTTATTTAAGCAGGGTTTATACCCAAATCATACTTCCTTCTAATTATAAAGCAAGTTTTATTTACTGGCCCAGCTGACAGCCGATGGCTGTTTAAACCCTGATATTAAATATATTTTAATAATAAAGGCATTTCAAGGGTGGCAGTTCTAGTTCTGTAATTGCTCAAGAGGCAAAACAGTGCAAATATGTTGAGAGCTTCAAAAAAAGCCATCCCACCAGCCTTTTAGCTAATCCCATTTTTATTGTTTGCTAAACTACATGAGAATCTTTCATTGTTATACAGCTTACTTCTCAATAATACAGCTGCTTCAGTCACTGGCTTGGCATGTCTCTAAAGCTTCTCAGCATAGATATAATTACTAAGTTTGAAACTCTTGCGGGCTCTTTTACATGGAGCTTTAATAGCTTGTCACATTATGCACTGTTTGGTTCACTCATGATTGGAAATGCTACCAACCCACATTACTTGTGACACACACCATCACCACCATCCATGTAGCAAAACCTGCTCAGGGGACGTTACATGTCATCACCACTCTGCTCTGAAATAGGAGCAAAGCTACCTTAACATGGGAGTGCAAACAGCTTTAGCCAGCATATTAGGGTTTGATTGTATTTTTAATCCCAAATCACAAGGCAATTACCTACTACATTATTTCTATTACTGAATAATTTCTTAGATTTAAGGTAGTATTTATAGCTCAGAACTCCACTGCATTACTGCCATCTTGTTCTGAGGTTTTATAGTCAGAGAACTTACAATCTATATAGAAGATGATAGGCAAGTCAGAGAAAGCAGGAATCTTATTGCCAGGAATGGCCCAAATGAAAAAGAAAGATAATACACATTGCCTGAGTGCACAGCTAGACTTTAAGATCAAGATGTTGCCCAAAGGAAGTCTCCCCAAAAATAATACAACTTGTGTCCCAGAGCTGAAGAACAATGTCATCAGTTCTCTACAAAATAAGATGCTCGGCTACCTCATGCCTCTTGGATGATGAATGATGCCATTAGACACAAGATAGTGTTCATTCAAATGACAAACACCTTTGTGAAAAACAAGTTATATTCTTTTTCTCTACTCTGTGATATGGTATAGACAGTCCAATAAGAAGCTGTGGCACCCAGGTCTTCTTAAGCAACTGCTTTGAGCTCCTGAACACATTTCCAATATGGAAAATACTAAATGCCACCAGCATATTCATCTCCCTTCAGTTTAACCACTTGTAGTTTAAAACTAAACTACCATCTAGTCAGGTCCTTACCACCCGTGTAGTTTAACTGCAAGTCTTCATCTAATTCATTCTTGAATT